CTGAAACTCAGATTTTTGTAAAGAGGGCTGCAAAGACCCCGCACCCATCCACAAAACAGTCTCCAGACTGTGCTGGCAAAACTCCTGGGACAGTGATATGATGGGTACTGAGTGTGTCTGCACAGGTGGAGCATTTACCAATACTGTCTCCAGTTTTAATCCTAGATGCAAAGTCCGTATGCAGCCAGCCTCGGGGTCACAGCTGATGCTTGTGGGCCCCTACGGCTGTATCTGGGGGCATGGCTGCCCTCTAAGAATGGCAGCTGAGGGAGTTCAGGCTGCCAGCCCAGATCCTGCTTGCCCATACTGCGGCATAAATTAAAAATAAGCCCTTGCTTTGAGCTGATTTCCTCACGATTCCTCTGGATGTCATTTGGATTCGAATCCATCCGCCTTTGGGAAGCTGGAAGCTTGCAAATCTCAACTTTTGAATGTTTGCAATTATGATGGTAATGGTAAAGGGACATATGCTTCTGTGTTCTCTATAAGCTGTTATGAGGCACAGTTGTTCTTTTACAGCCGTTTTACAGCCAGACCATCAAGCACAGGCAGGGGAATAAAACCCTTGTGCCCATTGGGCTGGAAATAGGTTGGATGGGAACTGCTCTGGGCTCAGCCACCACATCCCTGTGCCTCCCCCAGTGCATTCAACTTCCCCCTGCTTTAGTTTTCTGACACCAGTAGCCCAAGATCTCCTTTGGGTTCTCCAATCTGTTGAGCCCATGACAATATGTGGAGGGGAACAGCATGTTAGCCCATGTTAGCCCAGCACTTGACCCCAGAGATTCCTTATCCCAGTCCTAGACAATGGGTCCGAGAAAACTCAGAACTTCCCAGCGGGATGCTGATGGCCAAAGAAATTTCCCTGACAAATGCAAGGAGAGACTCTTCCGAAGCTCTAGCCGTGGCTGGAACATAACCAGCTTCAGTAGCTGAAGTTTTGGAGGGGAACAGGTTTCTCTGGTGTATCCTGGAGGATGGTGAGAGGTGCAAGGGATACCAGCACCCCATATACCCCGGGGACAGTGGAAGAAGGTCTGCCTCTCCTTTGCAGTCAGGCAGGGGACAGCATCACAGTGCGTGCTGAAAGCTTTTCCTGACAGCCTTCTTTCGCTTTCAGCTCTTCCCGGCTGATGTCGGGTGTTAGCTGCTGATTTACAAGCAGCAAAACCCACTGTGGCAGCACTCCTCAGCATATGAGCAGGAGGTGCCAGGGCCCTTTATCCCAGCACAGCCCTTCTGTGTGGAGCATCCACCCCACAGCAGCATCCTTTCCTCTGTTCACCCCTCAGCCCAGGGACCAGCTCATGACAATATGTCATGGTAAAAATCACTTTTTGGGGAAAATGTCTCTGGTTCCCTAGGAAGGACTCCCTGGGTAGCTTTGGGATTCCAAACACCCTCTGCTGGCTTTCCTCAGAAGCTGACTGCACCCCAAAATCTCTCACATTCAGGGAGGCTCCCATGGCTTTGCTTCACATTGCTGATGGCTCCCTCCTCCTCCTCAGGCAAGAGCCTGGCAGCTCTGCCAGGCTTGCACCCCCATGATCAGCAGGGATCTGGGTCTGTCGGGCTCTCTGGCTGTGACAGAGAAGATCTTCTCCAGATCACCGTGCCCTGCCAGAAACAATCTGTTTACAGTGTCAGCGCTCGGTGTATCCCTCCCCACTCGGTGTTGAACCGCCCGTATCCTATTTCTGCAAGCACAGAGACACCCTTCTGTAGTCCGGGTGGCATTGTCACTACAGGGAATATTTCCGTGACATCCTCCAGGGTTGGTGGGCAAAGCCTAACGAAGCTCTTCTCCCAAATTGCCGCTCCTAGAAGTGCCCGCGGATGTTGCAAGCACGTCCTTCGCTTTTTCTCCGGAGGTCCCTGCTGACCTGAATTTTCCTGCGGGTCCTGCCGCTGATCCCCAGGGACGCGAGAGTGTAGGTGCCGGGCTATAGGATTTCCCTCGCACAGCCCCCTCCCTTTGGGGATGCAGCTAGTGGCTGGGTCACTTATTTGACAAAGATGAGCTGACGGCTCAGCAGAGCTGCAGGCTGCAGCCCCTGGTGCCAGCACTGCACGGAGCCAGCCCCTGCCGGCCCTGCGCGCCGGGGACGTGCCGGGAGGGTGCTCCTCCGCACCATGCCCTTGGGTTTGGTTTCCTTCTGGGTTGGTGCACGCAGCTAACGCCTGCGAGCGCTCTTCCTCTCTCCTTCTCGCTCTCAGAGACCCTTTAAATCGGCTGCTTCACACTCAGTAAGCATCCCCCCCCCCTTAAAACCGTACCGTTTCTCCCAGGTCACGCCAGGCAATCACTTCCCAGCAAACTCACCGATTTTGGCCAGTTTTTCGCTCTGCTTGTTAACAGCCTGTTAAACCCTCGGAGCCCCCGGGGCGGCTCTGCTCGCACACACGTCGGGAGCAATCACCCGGTGCCTGGGAAACGATTGCTGGCATTACCTGGGCAGCAGCAAACTTTGCTTGCGCAGCTTCTCTCAAGGCCGATGCTGATGTTGGCTATTAGTGCTAACGACCCCCATGTCTGCAACTTCCAGGCGATGGGGCCTTTCATCAGGGAGCCCCTCCGAGATCCAGGGAAAGTTTGGCTTTTGGAGGAGCGCAGTTTTCTTCCGCCTCACTGGCTTTTTATCTCTTTCAGGAAGCTCTGGAGGCTACGAGCTACCTTACCTAATGGATCTCTATTAGATTGCGGCACTGGGGGCTGATCGGACATGCCCCGGGCTCCAGCTGCTCTCCCCATCCATGTTTTCAATGTCTTTGACTTTTGCCAGCCTCCAGATGGGAAGCGGCCGGGGGTCTGTAGGACTCAGGCTTGATGACTGGGGAAGGAATTTTTTATCCCCTAAATCCGTCTCCGAGCAAAGCACAGCAGTGTTTCAACAGTGCTGTGGGGGGAAGCTGTTTGTGCAAAGCTCCCGCCCGAAACATTGCACTGCCATGATGCACAGGCAGGATGATATCGGAGTGTTTCATCCCGTGAGAGACTCTCAGCCTGCCACTTGTGGTGTGGCAGGTAAGGCATGGGTCCTGGGGACAGGCTGGTCTGCGGGGCTTCAGTGTTGTCCTGGAGGTACCCGTCAGACGGAGCTGAGCCTCCCTGACCTGTTTAATCCCACCTCCATCATTACAATGTCTTTTTGTATCACTCCTTGCCTGGGGTCTGGGATCTCCTGTGCTGGCACTGTGCAGCACAAAGGCAGCCCCATTCTTCAGGTTAGAGCTCCAACAGGGCAAGAAAGAACAAGGCAGTATTCAGCTTCTCTCTCATTAAGCATGGAGGGAATTATATGCCCGAGAAGGCAGTGGTGATGCTGGATTTGCTGCCCTTCCCTGGTGCAGGATTCAGGACTGTCCAGAGACAATGAGGCTGCAGCCACAGCTCCCATGTGTCACATTGCCCCTTGCCCCAGCCACCCTTGTTCAGGCTGTACAACATGTTAGTGCTGGGCAAGGGGCCCGAGGGCACCTCAGTTTCCCCCACTGTGCTCCTGCTGGAATGGTCCCAGAGCAGGAAAAGCAAATCCTGCCCTTCCGGGGAGGGGAGCTCGGGCAGTGAGGATGAATACCACCTTTATGTGTGGCCTCCGCCAGAGACCAGAGTGGTGGCTGCACATCACCCAGAGAGGTCTGGACTTTGAAGCCCAAACACGGGGCCAGCTAGTGGCTGGCTAAAAATCGTCGCAGCTCTGGGGAGGATGAGTTCCTAAGAGTGCCCCAGTAGCCCCCCGCATTGCTCATCCGGCAGCCCCCAGTGCACAACTCCCCTTGGGAGATGCTCTGATGTTCACAAGGGACTGGGACTGTTGCTTTCCCCCCTTCCCTGCGTGTCCCCTAGCTGTGGGGCTGCAGGAGAGCACCCCACCACCCCGGGGGCTCTGTCACCCCAGCATACATCCCTCCTGCACCCTGAAGTGCCAGCCTGCGGCCTCGCAGCCCCCGCCCAGGCGAGTGGGGATCC